GTCATTTATGTTTAGATTTTATTCAGAATTATAAACTTTAATAAATTTTTTCCTAATAAATGGAAAATATATTTGCTAATTATGGCCATGCTATTATCCGTGAACAAGATAAGGTGTATTGGCCTATATCTTCATCAAATCTTAATTCTCCTAATCAAATCACWACTTATAATATAAAGGAAGAAAMTAGTTTTTTAAATATTAAAAAAGCAAAGTATCAAATTTCTGGCTCTGTCTTACAATCTTATGGTAATAACTACCCAGCAGATTCAAAAATATTGTTAGTTGATAATTTTGTTCCATTTTTGTTTGAATGGATTTGTGTTTGTAATTTTAATTGATAATTTTCCTGCATTTTTGATTAAGCGTATGTGGGTTAAGAAACATGGTAAAGAAATATATTCAATTGATAATGTTGGAAGATGTAGTTTTATTAAAGGTACAATTAGTTATTCTGCAGATCTTAGTGATCCAACAATAAATAGTGGATTTCAGGCAAAATTTACTGGAGGTTGCTATTTTAGTGCTGTTGGTAAATTATCTAATTTGTGTTTAGGATTTTTTAAAGATATAGAATATCCAATATATAAAGGAGGCTTTGAAATAAGTTTTATAAGAAGTTCTGATGATGATGCTTTATTTAGAGAAAAAAATGCAAAAGGTGATCTAGTTGGTGTTGGAAAAATTGTTATTGATGAATTTAATATTAGGATTCCAATTGTGACTTATGCTGATTTGAATAAAATTAAATTGATAAAAGAATTAACTTTACTTTCCATAAGAAATGAATATATGTTTAGATTCAAATCATGGCAATATATTGAAGATAGAAATATTACTGGTAAAACATTAACTAAAGATATAACAAATATGTATAGAAATGTCCATAATCCTTTGTTTGCTATTGTAGCTTTTCAAACAGATAAACTAGACTACCAATATTGAAAGATCCAATACAGTTTAATAATTGTAATTTGAAAAATATTTGGTTGGATATTGATAGTAATAGATATCCGGAAGAACTATTGAATTTAGATTTTAAAAAAGAAAAATTTAATATTGCTTATGATATGTTAATGGATTATAARWAWGTTTATAATAGAWTACATCGAGATTTRTCTTTAATGTATATAACTCTACAACAATTTAAAGATACCAGACCATTTTTTGTAATTAATATGAGTAGGCAGCCATCACAGATTTCTGGATCTAAAACAAGTATTGTCTTGCATGTAGACTTCAATGAAGATGTGCCTGTTAATACCATTTGTTAYATTTGTTTAGTGTCTGGTACAGAATTTTTTTATGATATTCCCAATAATACAATTAGAGAAAATATATAAAAAATATATATCTTAAATAAATGGATTATTGTAAATGTAAATCACAAACTAGAAGTATAGGTATTCCTGAATTTATTTTAAAAAATAATAAATATAGGAGATTATCAGTATGTAAAATATGTAA